TTGGATTCCTCCTTGGACTCCTTCTCGAACACTTCCACATCTCATGTGTTGGTCCTTTTGTGTCCCTTTTTTGAGACTCACTTATTGCTTGCATCGTGCTCATTCCTCAAGCACTTCATTGGGAGTTCCACTCCCGCTCTCACTTTTTCAAGTCAGAGCTTTTACTCCATATGGGTTAATCTCATTTGGCTTCCACCTCAGCCACTACCATGTGGCACCCTTTCAGCTCCTCTTTGGGGCTTAGGGATTTTATGTCTTACACATGGTATAGATGGCTTTAGACCATCAATAAAATAGTGAGGATGGATATGGCTTTAATGTAAAAGGTTGGTACTTTAGTAGTACCTTTGGGTGTTTAAAATGGAATTAAACATGTGAAGCATTGGACTAAGTGCAAAGTTAACATAACTTTGAAATCACCTTTAAAGACTAACAAATACCCCAAGTTAGAATGAGGACTTATAGAGGTTGTGAATGAGACTTCTTCAAATGGTTTATAGCATGGTTAAATGACTAAATTAAATTGAACAATAGTGTTTAATGTAATGTAGGACTCATTTTTATGAATATTGTCCACTTTTTCACATTGTTCCTAATGAAGTATATGAATTGGCAACATTCATAAACAATTATTTCTTATATATAAAGGAGTTTCTATCACCTTTTTTTCTTTATTTTTGAAAAATGAGCCACCATAAATATTGAGGAACAAACTTGTTTAAATATGGAGAGCACAAAGTAAAGCACTTTCTAATATCAAACTTAAAGTGGTTAATAATCCTTTAGTTCTTTCTTCTTCTCCTTTTTATATAACAAGCTCAATGTAGGTGGGTTGAAGAGTATTGGATTGATGGTTTTTATTTCCATTTGGTTGGCTCTATACTCTATACACACAATGGCTTCACAAAATTTACTGGAAGCTTTGACAAGTAATCTTTCCACAAATTCATTCAAACCATTAAATGTTGTATCCTTAGGTATTACAACCAATATGTCAGTGTGGATAGACACATTTACTTGATCCTTGTGGATGAGCTTCTTCACAATCTTATACCTCATATCATCACTATTGTTGAAAATGCAAAACTCATGATTTATTTCCTCAAATAGCTGAAAGCTTGCTCAAACTCTCCAAGTCAGAAGGCAAAGCTCTAGTGTATGTGGAGAATCACAGTTAGTTTTCTTTTCATTGGGGAAAAACTATTGCATAATCTCATGTTATAGTCCATATCTGGCGGGAAATCTCTCTTCCAAGCACTTATCATTGAGAAGAATGTGGAATACCTAGATGCTGGAAACTGTTTCCATGAAAGTATATATGTTTCATACTTTGGTTTTGATCTTTGTAGATGGCCAAGCTTCTCATTGCTTCTTTAGGCAGGTCACCATTCATGGGTAACGAGTTTGGCCATATAAAGATACTTTTCATTGTTCCTTAGTGGTCTTTAAGAAAAAGATTTTACACATGTGGAGAGCAAGCAATAACTTCTCATATGAGTTTACTTGTTAGAGATGATCCTTACTAGATGACAAATGGCACACAAAGTTTGACATTGTAAGTAGAGACAACATCATTTCTCTCAAGACTCTTGTCTTATCAGCAATTGATGTAAGTGCCTATGGCAATTGAGCAGAAGTATTTAATTCTTAACGATGCACCAGCAACAAACTTGTAAGTTGATGATTCTGTTTCCTCCTCTTTTTTATGATTTTGGGTTTCTTAGGATCAATGTCTTTAGCACAAAATTGTTCCTCCACAATTGAGTGTAGGGGTTGTCGAGTGGAAGCTTTCATCTATCTCTCATGTAAGAATACTATAGGTTTATAGACTTGCAAAAGTCTGGGATGCCTCAGTTAGTGTGATGTAAAAAATCTGGCAATTATGACAAAGCAATGACTTTTTGTTTTCTTAAATACTATGAACTCAATTTTGCATTAATGTCAAGTAAAAATTCATGCAACCTCAATTGAGGTTTATGAATTCAGTGAGTTCATGCATTGCATACCACCGTGTATTCATAACCAATCAAAAGCCTAGAAACTTATGTGGAAGCCACTTTTCATAGTATTTTAATATTTGTTAGATCAATATTTGTTATCTTTTCTTTATTAATAGTTCATTGATATATATAAAACCTAGACATGTTGCAATAGAAAATACTTCCTATGATTTTAAAATTAAAATTCAGGATAGACATTTTGTTGTGTGGAATATAAACATATCTTATCTAAGGATAGGATTTCAACAAAATTTTTCTTCAACAATACAGGAAATTACAATATAGTAAAGGTTTTGTCACAGCTATTAGAGTTTTGTCATTTGCAAGAAATGCAAAGATCACGTGAGCAAGTTTTATATGAGAATGCACTAATATATATAGTCCATTTGGTTGTTCCATCCAGAGGTGTTCTGGTAAACATAAGTATTGGTAGTGAATTTCTAATAACTTTTTGATCAATGTATTATTTCAAAAACTTTTATTCCAAATATTTTAGAATGAATTCATCCTCCTTTACTATGATCTTATTGTTTTTTATTTTTATTTTTATTTTTGTGCTTAGATTTAGCTTAAAAAAATTATATTAATCAATAAGAACTAAGACTTTATAACTAGAAGTCTCAAACTAAATAAACATATAATAATTTTAACAAAGATTGAAACTAAATCTCCTAGAGTTTTAAGTAACTTCTCTGTGTGTGTGTGTGTGTGTTTAAAGGCAAATATTTGTATTTATATATGACAGTGGTTTGATGCAATTTGTCCAGCCAGGACATACTGTGTAAAAGCTGTGTTGCAAGTGATTGTAACCTCTATTGTTATAGATTAGTGTTAAATCAGTATATCGACTAGATTGGAGTCTCACATGTAATAAATCATTATCTAAATAAACATATCCTCCTTGACCAAAAGGAATTATACATTCATTCCATATAATACTAAATTCCTAAAACATCATATTTAAATTCACAAACATCTTCCTCATTATATATGGCATTAGTTCTAGAAATACAAGCTTTTAGAAATGGAGAGCTGGTTCCAGATATTTTATCATTTATTAAATGAACTATAATTAAGAAAATCCTTTTTGCCATTCTTAAAATGTTATTATTAATATAAATGTTATATTTAACTTTGCTTAAATATAAGATAATCCTTGATAGAAGAAATTGATCATATAAAAAGTATATTCTTTTCTTTTAGACTATATAAGGAATTTTGATGATGTGGCAGCCAGACTGCAAGTATTATAAGAAAAAAAAATATTATTAAAATATTTTTCTTGCAACATGTGTCAATTTGTCTAAGTTTTATATTTATCAATAGACTGTAGCTTTTAAATTTTTAATAAATAATTATTAGAAAATAAATCACACTTTTGCACAAAATAGACTGATCTTTAGTTGCAAATAAAGATTCAAATAATGGTAGAAATGTACCTCAATCGTAAAAGTCCTTGTAGCCCTAGGTAAAATCTGCCATCATGTAGCTAAAGACTTCAACAAATCCACCAACAGCCTTAATCTTCATTTTTCCCAAGCAATTCAATCCTAAATCTCAATTCTCATACCAACAATCAGGACCAAATGCTCTTCCGAATGCCTGTATTTTTGAGCATTTTGCCCTAAAATGGATCAATGTGCTTCTTGTAAGAGGATGCATCTTCATACTCAGCAATGAAGATTTATCCATTGGGAGATTTACACTTCTATAGCTAAACAGTATAAAGTGGATGTGCTAGACCTTATCATTACTTGTTGCAGGGGTGGCACATGCTTAATTTCAAGGCAACAACTAAGCTCACCAAAATCTATAGCTACTCTAGAAATTGGTAAAAAACTAGAAACAATAGTAAAAAAAGGACATAAATGATTTTTATACATGATGCAAACTAAGTTAATCCAAAAGTCTAAACTAAGCGTAAGTCCATACCAATCTTATATACAGATGTGAAGTCATCTCAAGTCCATTGCTAGAGTTTATCAAACAAAGATTGTTTACCTTCTAGGTAAATACCATTTGGAATTGAAGATGGGTGGTCTGCTGCTTTACTCTATGTTCAGAAACTAAATTAGTAGTAGACCAAATTTACTTTATGTAAAGTTTATAAATTAAAAAAAAATTATAAACATAAATTATCTAATAAATATAAACCATTAGATTAAGAATATGTTAGGATATGTTTTTGGTTTACTTAAGCAAACATGTGGATGGTAGTGAATATACTAAGTATATTCCTGGATATTCTAGAATAGTTTACCATTTAACATTGTTATTCATTTAGATGAATTGTTTATAATTTATAAACTTCCTAAACACTTTCTAGTATATTCTAGTTTATTCTACCATCTAATGGTTGATATTCAATAAGATTAATCTTTTGTGTATATAAATTATAAACATGTTTATAATTAAAAACTTCCATTTGATCAATTAAATTAATAAATAAGAATAACACTATTATTAAGCAAATCAAATTTTGATACATGTAATGCACAACAAATTTTTGGTTTGCTTAAGCAAACTATATGAGGACTATTTAAGCATATTCTAGGTATATTCATTACCATCCCATTCTAGGATATAATGGTTGTTATTCATTTAGATTAATCTTGTATTTATAATTTATTAACATGTTTATAATTTTTAAACTTTCTTAAACCCTTTCTAGTATATTCTTTTTATTCTATCATCTGGTTGATATGCAATAAGATTAATCTTGTGTTTATAAATTACAAACATGCTTATAATTATAAATTTTATTTGATCAATTAAATTAATAAGTAAAAATAACACTACTATTAAGCAAACCAAATGTTACTACATGCAACACTAGCAATTTATTATAAATTACAGACATATTTATAATTTATAAACGCAAGATTAATCTAAATAAAGATAAACCGTTAAATGGAAGAATATACTAAAATGTCCAGGCTTATTTCTTCTGGGTCGAAGGGTTGTTTTTTAAGGTTTAGCCATGAAGCTTCAACACCCGGAAAATCGATCAAGATTTTTTATGAATGGCTCGATTGACGAGGAGGATGGCAGTGATGATCCAGTGCTACTTGATCCAGCAGTGTGGGGTGCTCTCTCCAGTGACATCCTCGCCATGATCCTCGGCTGGCTGCCACTCCCGGCGCTATGCCGCTTCCGGTCAGTCTCCAAGGCATGGCACGCGGCCATCGGGCGGATCCGAAAGGTCAGGCACGGCCCCTGGTACGTCTCATGCGCTGAGGGTGCCGTCAAGATCGCCAACCCTCGCGACTGGGAGCTTTTTGGCCGCCACTGGCGTAGCTTGCCGCAAATGCCCGGGCTCGGCATTTGCCGCCTCTGCGCTGCTGCTGGTGGGTTGTTTTACTTCGTCGTCGCCGGGGGCGATTTTCCCTACAAGGACGATGCTGTGGTGCTCAACCCGCTCACCGGCTACTGGAAGGAGCTGCCGAGAGTTCCCAGGATCGTGGAGTTGAGGATGGAGAGGATGTCGGTGTGGAGGGGGATGGAGGCTCTCGGGCAGGATGGAGATTTCCTCGTCGTCAACTTGGTGGAATGCGTTCCACGCTACGTTCGACGAAGGGACATTGTCCAGGTCTACGACTCGAGGCAGCGGAGATGGAGCACCAACGCTGAGCTTGTTCTTGAGCCAGGTATGATCGACAGTACTTCTCCTCAGACCAAAGTTTTTTTTTTTCCAGGCGAGTTTTGCGCGCCGGGTAGTGCAGCGTTACACGGTTCGATCCTCTACTTTCTCACTTTTCCAGGGAACCCGGACGCCACGGCCAGGCTGAGACCCTTTCGACTGGATAGTGATCTCTGCGGGAAGTGCGAGAGCACCATTGTTGCAACCTGGAAGGATCTGCCAAAGAGGAGCTTCTTAAGTCCGGGTCAAGCTGACAGGAATCCAAAGCTGTTCTTCTGGGGTAAGAAAGTGGCGTCCTCTCCTCTTCTTCATAGTTTTCTTCTTCGCAGGAGAGCGATGCATGTTGGCAAGCTTCGGTGAGGTACGCCCAGGCAGCGCGAACGAGACGATCTTCTTACACGCCTTGGACGCGGAGAGCAAGACATGGATAGAATTCGACCGCCTTCGGACTCCTGGAAAGAAAAGAGCATTCCAGGACTTGCGAGTGGCAGCAGATCCTCTGGAGCAAAGGCTTACCTTGTCCACGGCAGAGAATGGCTACGCTTACGACCTTTCCACAAAAGAGTGGTCTCGTCCATGGTCGTTCTCTCATTTCAGCCCATGCAGTGTTCCATTCTTTCCTTACACACCGTCCTTCTGCTTAAGTAGAAGCGACGTATAGATCCATGAATGAATGGAAGCTAGAAGTTCGTCACGTAGCGCATTATGCTCGTGAAAGACTTAAGACCACAGTGTTTCCAAGCCTTCGAGCTCCATTGCCTGGAAGAGCTCGGGAAGTTGATCTTCGCGGCCACCAGCGAGATAAGCCGACGCTAGAGTTGCCCACACGAACCCCTCCTTGATCGCGAGCGCATCAAACGCGAGCTTGGCATTCTTCCAGTCGCCACAAAGAGCATACATGTTGAGGACGTCCCTGAGCGTGTTGGAGGTAAACGCGGAGGTTTTTGCGAGAGAGGAGGCCAGTTCCTTGCCACGAGCAAAGTTCTTCTCGTCGCAGCAGGCAGCGAAGACGCTGCTCAGGGTCTGCTCGTTTGGATCCATGCTCGCGCTCTTCATCGCGTCGAAGAGAGCTAGACACTCTCCAAACTCCCCATGCCGGACGTAAGCCTCGAGCATGGCGTTCCACACCAGTATCTCCTTTCCGGAAGAGCTCCTCTTGAACAAGAGCCTGGCATTCTCGAGGCTGCCACACTCGGAGTACATCCTGATGAGAGCGGCGACGAGCCGAGCGCTGTGCTTCACAGTCGTGGCCACCGCTCGCGCGTGGATCGCCTTGCCTTGCGAGAGATGCTCGGGGTGGCGGCACGATCCAAGCACGAGCACAAAACTCTCCGGATCTGGAGAAGTTGCTCGAGCTCGCATCACAGTGTAGAGCTCCAGTGCGTCCACAGAGAATCCACCGCGAGCACACACCTCAAAGCAGTAGTTCCAGCACGCTCCTGACATCCTGGCCGCGGCGGCTTTCACTCGATCAAACCGCCGGCACTGTGCGTAGATCTTCACCAGCGCGAGCTGGAGATCACTGCCGCAGATCCGGTCCAGTCCCTCGCTCGCGATCCTCTCCACCACCCTGCTCCCCAGCTCCAATCTCCCCGCCGCCACGCAAATCTCTAGCACAGCCGCGTAGGTGGTGCTATCCGGCCTCTTCCCCTCCACCGCCATCGCCCAGTAGAACTCCAGCGCGCGATCGTGCTGCTTCCACCGCCACAAGGCCGCGATCACCGCGTTCCACACCGGCGTCTCCTTGAACCTCACGTCGCCAAACACCTGGATGGCGGTGTCGAGCCGGCCACACTTGCCATACATGTAGATGATCGCACTCTGGAGCTTGTGATCCTGCCGGACGCGCCGATCGATGAGCAAGTTGTGGAACTCGGTGCCGGAGGAGAGATCGCGCAGCTGGCCGCACGCCCGGATGGCGAGCGCGAAGGAGACGGCGTCCGGAACGGCCCTCTGGAGGAGCATCCGCCGGAAGTTCCGGTAGACCATCTTGCCGGACCCATCGTTGCGCGCGAGCATCCCCAGGAAGGCGTTCCAGGACTGGACGGTCCTCTTGTCCATGGTCTCGAAAACCTGGCTGCCCCATTCCAGATTGCCGCACCGGGAGTACATCCGGATCAAGAGATTGGCCATGGATGTGTCGTCCAGGTACTTGGTGGCGTCCATGTGGCGGTGGATGCGAACGCCGTAGGAGAATGCGTGCTCGCGGGCGCAGCGCCGGAGGAGGGAGGCGTACACGGAGGGATTCACCCGGTTTGGCGAGTAGGATTGCTCCAGCGAGTCGACGGCGTCGGCGAGGCCCTGGGACACCCATGGCTCGCGGGGGTACCTGATGCGCCGCCGCCGCTTGAAGCTCAGCTTCCTCCGCTGTAGCCCTCGCAGCATTCCCAAGAGCCCTAAACCCCGTGAATATTCTGCGGAATATTCGATTTTTTGAGTTTAAACCAAAAAACGGCGGGGCTTCGCGGGAATTTCGCTCGCGCGGAGAAAGGGTTCCTCGTCTTCCAGAGGCAATCTAATTTGCTCGCATCCATAACTGTTGCAAGCGTCGAGTGATTCCACTGCCAAAAATTGGCATGGGCACAAGATTAAGCCCTTGGAGCGTGATGTTTGTCCACAACTATACAAAGCCCTAAATAATTGGAAATAGAAGTGAGAGAACACCTGGGAAGCGAAAAACAAAAGCAGAACTTGCTTTGTAAAAGGATCATCCCCGAGTAGACTCTAAAAGTCGATCATAACAGTTATAAGTTCGTTGACAAGGAAGAATGATTTAGAGCAAGCATCATAAAAGGTACTACTCTGAAGTTAGCTCTGTTGCGCTCTTGGGAATGTGAATGGTAAGCAAGCCATTCCGCAAAAATGCTCTAGCCTTCTTCAGGTCAGCAGTAGAGGGAAGGTTGAACTTCCTTTGCTTGAAGATGTTGGCGCTGGTCTTTACGGTGAGTTGATCCGGACCTGAACATACCACAATCACTTTCTCTCGTGACAAGCCTGCACAATTGCAAAACCAAAAGCTCTTGGGAAAGCGTGGAAGTCTTAAGAGACATACCTGGAACTTCGATATAAAGGGTGTGGTGATGCTCCTCATCTACAATAGTTGCCTCGAGACGTTTGTTCGTGGCTGTAGCAGAGAATAAAAAAAGGAAATTAGTGGAGGTAAAAAGAAAAACAGAAAAATACTCATGTCCAGCTCAGCCTCATCACGGTCCTCAATTGGCACTGTCGAAGCTGTCCGTTTGAGCGCAGCAGCCCCCTTGGGAAAGCGAATAGTGAGAATCTCATCCTGGAGATTCACTATTGCACCATCGACATTGGCGTGAGTAGGAACCACAAGGTTCTCGGGGCGGAATACGTCCTTCTCCGTGGAAACATGCACGCCCTGTCCATCTTTTGCAACACGCACTTGATCCAGAGATGTGAGACCTGTACAATAGTAGGCAAGAATAAGAAAATTTATTGAGATATGTCTGCAAATGACTTTACCGGGCACTTGCACATCGACAGTGTAGAACTGCTGGTTCTCGAATGACGAGCACAAGAGCTTGCGCTTGTCATATCCTGCAAGCCACAGCAAGGAGAAATAAAAAACTCCAGGCAGGATCAAAGCCATACCTTTATTGTGCTTGAGGCAGTTTAGCAGTAGTTGGTGTGCATGTTTCTTCTCAAAGTTGTAGAGAGCAATGAGGCCTCCGTGCTGAGAGAACTGTGGGAGTCCCCCGGCATCAGCCACCTCTTGCGCTAACCTGAGGCCCCTGGCACACCTTTTCAGGTGATCACTGGAGAAGACAGCGTGTGGGACGACCGGTGTAGCATATGATGGAGAGCGCTCATGGATCAGAGAGGTGAGGCTTGTCGATTGCAGACCAAAGAGGTTGGGATAAGACTCAGCAGCAAACACACGCGCCTGCTCCTGCAACTCTTGCATGTTTGGCTCCCCGGAGAAGACTTCCTTCTCAGCTCGGCAAGCAGCACTCCGGCAAAAGTCATGCACTAGGCGAGTTTCTTCCTGTGTAGGGTGGTGTATGGGTGGCTCTCCACGGAAGCGGCGGAAGTCATCCTCTGAGGCGATGTTCACGAGCTGGATCATGTGTGGATACGGGCAGGGGTAGTCGCCACAGTCGTCAAACCCGAGTGGTTTTTCGGAGGGTGGAGGGAAGTCGCCGCTCACGATTTCGGTGTACCTGAGCGTGTGATCCAGGAGATGCGCCTGGAAGCAGCCGGTGGCACAATCAGAGTCACCTAGCGCCCAAAAGACTTGGCCGAGGACACGGTTGTTTAGGCGGAGCATCACCATCCACAGAAACTCTCCATATTCATTGTAGGCATCGTCCGTCGGTGGTTTGCTCGCCTGAGGGAGCTTCTTGCCTTTGCTGCTGCTGCTGCTTGATGCCCTCCTTGCTGTATGGACAAGCCACCTTAACATTTTCTAGGGTTAAACGTGTGTTCTGCTAGGGTTTTAGGAAGGGCATGATGTGGGGTTCTCTTTTCAAGCGTTTGCAGCAGCCAAGTTTAATGTTGTTTCGTCTCCATAGCAAGGCTCGCACTCATGGTCATGCTCGGGTGTTCTTGGACGCGGGAATTGATATAGAAGTAGATCAATCGGAATGGGATAAACGTGTAACACGGACTTTTGGAGAAACATGTACGACTTCAATGCTACAATTGCTCTATTTTAAATATTTAAGGCAAATCCGGGTGAACACTCTCTACAGGATGAGGCACGAGGTAGGATGATTTCAATACTAGAAATAATATTGATTGAATTTTATAAAAATAAAATTTTGTTTCAGGTTTGGAAAGAAATGATAAGTATTAATCCATCAAGAAAGGATATAGACCAAGCAGTGACCCTGTTGTTACGCAAAGGAGGTTTGAATTTTTTTTTCTTGATTTCTTTTATTTCTTTTTTCTTCATAGGGATAAAAACTTTTGGAGACCTTGCTCAGTTTCATCATACTTTTAATGCTCTTTGGACAATTAAACGAAGTCTTCACAAGGATTGGGCACTGCTTACTCCTGATAAAGCAAGGCATTTGGCACAAGCTTATTTTAAGGTATAATTTAGATTAGTTTTTATATGATAGTTTTTCTTCTTAGGCAGCTGTAGATGACCTGTGGAGTGGTTGCAATCCACTTACATTATCTGAAATCATGGACATTCTTATGGGTGGACAAGTATATTTTATTGCTAAGCAATATAGGTTTGCTCTCAAAAAATTTCTTTATTATATTTGAAACAATTTTACAGTGATGAGGGAGCTCATCATGATAACAATATTTACAATGTGGTATGGCATTCCTATTCATCTCCATATCCACCAATTATCAAGATCAACAGATACACTCCACTAGAGGATATGGAAACACCAGATGTATTAATCCAAATTGGTGAAGCTTTACATAACAAGGACTCTCGGCAATTTCTGTTTTTGAAGGCATTTACAGCAAGTGTGACAAGAAGAGGTTAATCTTTTTCTGTATTTACACAACAAATTTTGCTTCCAATATATTATATTGAATAAATATATTTTTGGTTTGCTTAAGCAAACCCAATATACTTAAAATATGCTTAGATATTCATTATACAATGTGGTATGGCATTCCTATTCATCTCCATAAGATCAACAAATACACTCCACTATAGCATATGGAAACAACAGATGTATTAATCCAAATTAGTGAAGCTTTACACAATAAGGACTCTAGGCAATTTTTGTTTGTGAAGGCATTTACAGCAAGTGTGAAAGGAAGAGGTTAATCTTTTTCTGTATTTATAGAGTTTAATTACACAATAAATTTTATTTTAGAGTAATCTCTAATAGATTATATACCATACATTATAAATATTATATTAATTCTGAGCTAGTGGTAGTGAATATATCTAGAATATGCTTAAATATTTAGAGATATTCTTGGTTGTTATTCATTTAGATTAGTTATGTATTTAGAATTTATAAACAAGTTTTATGAGTGCATAGAATATAGAAAGAGAATATAATAAATGTGCATATTATTTAGCCCAAAAACCCTAGTTTATATACAAGGGTAAGTGATCCAAATTAAAATCAATCCAATAATTACCAAAATCCCACTATGCTAATATTAGTATATAGCATTGTAACCGTACACTTGAACCTCACATTATCCGCTCCTTTTGGAATGATGGAAGAGCATTAGGGTTCTCTTATAGGCCACAATCTGAAGGAACATTAGGAGGAAGCATTAGTGGATCTCTAAATGGTGTTAATTGTTCTTGATCCTTTTGTACAAAACATTACTGTACATGCATAATTTTTGGAAGATTAACTTGTTAGATGTTATGCCAAACTTCATAAACTTACAATCTAACTTGCCACACACCTAATATGGACCTTTCCATTGAGCAAAAAGCCCTTTAGATAAACCACATACCATAAGATGAGGAAAATGGATTAACACTAAGTCATCCACTTTATACTCCATAGGTGGACGATAATAAAAGTTGTAGTGCTATTGTTGTCCCACTTGTATCGGCTAAGGTGTTTGGTAGACTCTACTCGGATAAGTGGAAGAATGCTCATCAAATACTATTCCCAGAATCTAGCATCGGCAACTCGCGACAATTGTGAAAGTAAACCCAACTCTATTGGCAGTATTGGATCATGATCATATAAGAGTTTATATGATAAAGCACCAAGAGAACTCTACAGCCCTATGATATACACATACTGAAGAAACAATAAATAACCATCCCAATCCGAATGCAAAAAGTTTAAATACTTCATGATCATCCTTTTGAAGGTCTAAATAAACAATTCCACCAAACTATCTGATTGTGGATGATAAGCACTGGTCAAAATATAGTATATCCTCAACTGAGATGCCAAAATGTAAAATGCCTTAGCCATAAATGCAGTTACATTATCCAAAACAATCTACTTCAAACAGGAATGTTAGAATGCCACTTGATTGAGAAAGAAGTATCCAACAACAATTGTAGATGCACTAACAAGAGCATTAACTTCAACCCAATGAGTCAAGTAGTCAAAAGTAATAATGACATACTCATTGCCAACAATTGCTCTTGGAAAAGGTCCTATTAAATCAAATACCACCAACTCAAATTGATGGGACATTACAATTGACTTCAATCGTACTTTCACAACACGAAGGGGAGTATTATAAGTTTAGCACCAAATGCAGCTATGCACATATTGAATAACATCACATTGCATTTCCGGCTAATAAAAAACTTGTGCAACTTCTCAGTCATATGACGATATTTAATATGCCCACATAGAATAAAAGAATCATGGTAAGTGTGGAGAAAGTGTGGAATAAAAATTAAAGGCACCACTAGTCGTAAATGATCATCATGATCCATCCCTAAAAAATACCATTCT